TTCAAGGACATGACAGAGAGTCCTTTACCCATGCTCTAGCTATGGATAAATAGTTGTTTGTTCTTTTGAGAGCAGGCTCTTTAGCCAGAAGATAGGAGATGCCACCTCTGTTATAAAAGCTACAGCCCTATGAATCTTACAGCCTCTCAACCTGCTGAGCTGCTGTTCATCTTCCCTGGGCTTAAAGAGTGGGATTGATGTGCATGAACTGGTTCTCACTTGAAACATACAGAGTGCAGGCAGGAAATAAAGACCTGCAGTGATGGAGCATGGCAAAAATGACAGGTGCTAGATGGCGCTGAAATTGCATAAATAACTCTGCATGTAGGTGGTCTAGGGTAACATGGTCACTTGCTTGTGAACAGAGACAAGCGACTAAGCAGCTCACCCCAAGCAACCTAGCAGCCTTTTCTAGGGTTGCATTGCTTGCCCTGAATAGAGAGGGGTCTAGTAAAGATGACCTAAAAAAAGGTTTGTCTCATCCTTACCCAGTTGGTTGGCCCAATCAATGGGCATCCCTAGTTTAGCAGTAAAAACTAGTTAAAAGATTTTAGTAGTATAAACTAAAAGACAGACATGGAAACAGATAAGGACTATGAATATGAAAATGGCTTGCTGGAATGTGCAGGCAATGTAAGACTTGGAAGATAGTGTTCACCCCCACATAAAACCCCTCTCTTCGCCTCTCCACCAAAATTCTGGTATATAAGGCTGTTGTCATCTATACCTTCCTGTAAGGGGTCAAGGCATGTGTACTGTTCAGAAAGCAAATCAAATGCCTAGAACAGCAATGCTGCCTTTTCTCCATTATGAACATTAGATAGCAGGACTACAGAACCAACAATGAAGTCCTGGAAAAAGCCAATCTTCCCAGTATGGAGGCCACGTTCATGCTGAGACAATGATGGTCTGGCCATGTCTCCTGTATGCCTGATACATGAATCCCAAAGGAGCTATCAGATGGAAAACAAGACAGAGGGGTTCCAAGAAAACACTGGAAAGACTAACTGAAGGGCCAGTCTACTCAGGCTGGCATCAACCCCAAACACTGGGAACAGCTTGCAGAAAACCATGCAGCATGGTGATTAACAACAAGAAGAGCAGCACAAGATTTTGAGATCACAAGACGAGAGGCGGCAGAAGAGAAGAGGAGATGATGAAAGGAAGCACAAGAGCAGGATCCAACAGGACCTACCTTCCTGTGCCCTTGATGTCCTAGGATCTGCCTATCAAGAATAGGACTGATTAGTCATCCGAGAGCATGCATCCCTTGGCAGGACCTTCCCACAACTGATCCTTGGATATGAAGAAACTGCTTTTATCATCACCAATTACATTGTGGCAAATCTGTGTGTATCATATTAGAGATTCAGTTTTTGAGATCATGTAGAGGAAACATGTGTCCTTTAGAATTCCCACACTACAATGCATTTTACTCTGAAGGAAAAACTCGGCTTTTAGAAAACATTAAAAGGTGTTATACTACAGCACAGATAGGCATGCATTTAGTTTTAATGACTAACTAACCTTGGCTAGGAATGGTTATCACTCCTCTCTGCTTGGGTGGAGAGAAGCAGTACAAAAAACACATCTGGATTTGCAGGCTTACCTATAGAAAAGGCTTGACCCTTTAACTCCCAAGATCTGATTGACAATTCTCCCTTCCAGCTGCTACAAAT